CTATTTCGGGCCCTGATCCTCAAAAATATCCTTTTGACCCCCCCCCCCCGCCCACCTAAGTGATATAATATCTGATGACCCCCCCTTTACCATACTATAAATGTTTGTGACCCACCCCCCAATTTTTACCCACCCACCCCCTCAATAAATAATGACTGGTCCCTTAGCAAACAACATCTCTTCAAAGAGCTTATCGAATTTATGTATTTTCCACCATCTATGCTGGTACCACAAATGTAACAAATTAAACGCAAAAAATAATAATGGCAGTGTGCACGTCTTGTGAGTAATCTTATAACTTTTCACATGCATATATGAGAAATTTTATAAAAAACTTATACACACTCTTGAGCTTTTCTAGACCTCTTGAATTGGACTGCTAGTACAGTATAAGGTTCGGCTTGTGGAAATTAACATGACGTATATAGCTATTAACCTTTAAGCCCGGATAATCATACCTAATTTTATGAATTATTTTATTTCTTTATCACGGCATATTCCTTAATTAAGCAACAGTCTTAATTAAGCAACAGTGTGTCTGCCAGTCCGGAGATTACTGGGTACCCCCCTCCCCCACCGCACACACCAAGAAAATTTCACAGACGAACACCTTTAAAAAGACTGAAACTACAACCATGCTTGCGCACTAGAAGCAATCATGGTAAGACTTTTCCAACCATTAAATTAGATTTTTCAGACAATTCTTTTACCTCAGACAATTCTTTGGAGAACACTTGAATATATATTTTTAATTGCATTGCTGTAATTACATTTAACATTATCACAACAAATTAGTATTATCACTGCGCATTTTTACTGTTTCTCACTGACACAGAACAATAAAATTAGGCAGAGAATAGATCTACGTAGTGGATCCAACGTTATTGCGGCATCTAAAACAATTTGCAAAACATGTTTTACACTATTTCTTTTGCAAATATTTTAAAGCACAGATTTCAGCTAAATTCGACTTTAATTATCGGACACCTAAACCACACACAACACTGAGAGACACTATAGACGATTAATATGTGGTCTCTAGGCATCAAAAACGGTGCAAATATATACGTGACTGCATGCTATTTCATGCTATATAATATTTGATCGCAGCTGGCTTGGTTGTCCTAGTTCGGCGCTTTGATAGTTTGGATGTTTTTAGCTTTTTTTGCCTGTACACGTTATATTAATCTCATCCTTTTCATCAAGCTGGACAACAAATTTGTTTTCAGCATTCCCTGATCGAACACATAAGTCATTTCCTCGCTGATCATAAATAACAATCTCAGCATTCTTCCAAGTCTCTTCAGATTCTGTGGCGAGTTTCGTGATCGTCGCTATAAATCAAATTTTATTTTTTATTTTTGAGCAATTTGATTGGTCAACAGGAAGTTAGGAACTTTTTAAGGAACTTATCAAATTGTTGAGGAATTGTTCAGAGGTGTTCCTTCAAGTTAGGAAATGAATTGGTCAACATTTTTCGGAACGCTTCTACTGACACGACTGTAAATATACCAGTATTGTATATAGTTGTTCTTCAACAATAGAAGTATACGTACTTGCTCCCATTTTGAAAATGTCCTTCTAGGTAAATCCTGAATAATTTCTCGCTTGCGCACACCCAAGTCCCAGACGTGTTACGTCACACAAAAAGAATTTTCCTCGCTGTATTTTCACCTTATGCTGTCTACAAATATTGAGAGAATCAAAATGGCGTGACTACTTACTGTCGTTCCAATTGAAGAGTTGCTCAAATATTGATTCAATACATTGACCAATTCATTTTATCAAGTTCCTCGAGATATTCATACACTTCCTAGTTTAATTGTAAACTTCCAGTTGAATAGTTTGATGCACCAATCACCAATCACCTTTGTTGTTTGTGCAACTAACCAATCATAAATAAAAAGGAAGTGACCAGAAATGATCAAATACTTGGAATTGGCTCTTTCACAGGAAGTGTATGAATATCTCGAGGAACTTGATCAAATGAATTGGTCAGCCCGAGGTCTATGCCGAGGTAATGTATTGAATCAATATTTGAGCAACACTTCAATTGGAACGACAGTAAAAAATAGATAATGCGCAATAAACTTTCTCAGTATTTTTCAAAATTCAAGGAACTCAAAGTGAAAGAAAGAGAACTTCCGGGTGATAATGAAACTGACACTAATTTACTCTTGCGACACAAAACTCGAAGGAAACAAAAATATTTAACTGTGTCACTGACGGTGAAATCAGTAGCGTAGCCATGCAGCCCGACGATTTAGTCCCGCTATGCAAATATTTTTGTGTTCATTGCCTGTGAAAACAATTTCTAAAAAAATGTGTAATGATAATAATTTTGAGTTTGCATAGCGGGACTATAGATCATGTCGTGCTGGCTACGCCACTGGGTGAAATATGATCCCCATCGCACACCTTTTAAAAACCACAGTTTCGCCGAATTGCCTTCGCAGTTTCAAGAAACTGGAGCACAAGCAAGAGAAAGGAAAAGTTTCCGCTTGAAAAATTTTGATTCATATCCAGTTAACGCTCTTAAAGGTACTCTCTAATGAATTTATACCGTATTGTTGCTTTCTTTTGTTTATATGACTACAGGATAAGCATAGTCTTTTTCAACGTTCAGTAAAGTAGGCTGTTTTAGATTTACGATCAAAATACCACGCACTTTCGTTTCTGTCGTTTTCGAAATTCGTTGCCTTTTCGACAATTCTTTAATTTGCGCGTCCAAATAGCAGCATTTCTTAATAGGTCAGCGACTGTTAGAGAAGAACAGCCAAGCGCCCGATAGACTCAAAGTGTACGTATACTTTGGAAAATGATTTCAGCAGTGAGTTCTTTCGATGTAACAAGGCTATATGTGACGACGCAAAAACCATTGCGGAGAGGCCTTCAGTTTAGATTAAAATACTCCATTTTCTGAGCGATTTTTGGAACAGAAAAACGCTGTACTCGCGCGCTCCCTTTCTCAAAATTGTGCGTTTTGTATCTCAAATAGGTTCTTACATTGTATATCTATCTGGGGTTCGTGTATACGCGTTGCTGTTTTCAGTTCAATTGGTGTTTTTGGTCTATTTGTTGTTAATAATAACGGTGAGTAAAAACTGTCTCACCAGTAAACGATTCGTCATTCTATGAACAAAAATTTGCTTCGTATATAGCCAATACAAACAGAAACAGCAGATAGAGCCGCTTCGCCTTTGCCCCGGCTTTAAGCGTTGTAATGGACGCAAACAAAAACGGAATGATACTGGTGATGCACGCTTCATTTTATCACAAGAATCTCGTTTATTTTATTATAACTTATATGATAAGAATTTATTGATGTCGAAAAACCGCCTTCAACAAAAAGTGTGCTATAATCTTGAACAGCAATCAAGAAGGGCGTTCCTGAAATCATGACTGAAAATTTGAATTTATATATGGATCAGAATGACATTTTTGTTAGCTACAGTGGGCTTTGCATACTCAAGTAAGAAACGCTAATAAAAGCTTAGACAACTAGGCATTGTTTTAAACGTTTACATGCATGTGAAATTTGAAAACCTTTTACAAGACATGGTGCATGCATGAAAGTTGCATGCTCGAAGCTCTTCACTAACAACAAAAAGTTGGCTAGATCCGGAAATATAGGGTTGAAAATCGTATCTATTAATTTCATTCGAATTTTATTCTATGTGAACGAAAATTTGCTTCGTAGGCGTAGCTAGCTATAACCACTGTTTTGCAAACAGAAGCAACTGAGAAAGCTTTGCCTTTAAGCGTTTGTAGTGGATGCTAACAAACACTGAAGGAATCTTAAAAACTAGCCATTTATTCTAATCGTTTACATGCATAAAAGTTGCATGAAGGTCTTCATCAACAAAAAAGTTGCCTAGATCCGTATATATAGGGTTCAAAATCGTATCTATATCAACGATAGCTTAATGTAAAGAAAAACAGTCCGTTAATGACTATAACGGGAAAAGCAAAAATAATTTAAAGACGATTTTGTTGGGCCTTTCAAACAGGACATAGACAAGTCCGGCCATTCCATTCATCAAGAAAGACGCAGGGAGTGGCACACCATATGGTCATTAAAGCTTTGGAATTTGATTATTGGAATGCTTTGTTTTTTTACCGACAGTTTAATAATTAGCAGTATTCTAGTACAGACAGCATTAACATGTTTAAAATAGGGTTTTTTTAACTATTTGGAAAACCACTAGAAAGATTCAGATCATTTTTATATATTTTAAGTTAACTTTTTGATTCATCAACTATAATGAGCACGAGTTGGTCATTCCTCAGCTGTAAAGTGATTGCTGATGTTTATCTTGATTGATGGATTGAAGGACGATATACATTCCTAACCTTGCAACCATTGATTATGAGTTTGAAATAGTTATGTCGACAGCAAACATACCCATTCCTGGATAACTTTTCTAGCCCATTCCTAGCGTAGGAAACTAGTCATATAAACTTTCACAGGACAGTGACGTTTAAAAGCCACTCTTTTTACAAAACACAGTATAAGAGTTGCATGAAGCTCTTCACCAACAAAAAAACAAGTCAAGTTTTGGTTAAAGCCGTTTAGGGTTGAGAGTCGTATAAAAATCCATGATAGCCTAATGTAAAAGAAAGGGGTCTTTTTACTGAATAGGGAGGCAAAAAAACAACATTTTGTTTAATCTTGAAAACAGCTATAGGCCAGACATTCCAGCCATAATTCCACTCATCAAGGAAGACGCAGAGCAGGAGCACATGCACCATATTAAAGCATTAAAGCTTTTGAAATTTGATTGGAATGCTTTGCTTTTTGATCGACAGTCTAAGAATTAATAGTACTCTAATATAGATAGTTGTAACATGTTTAACATAAGGTGTTCTAATTTTATATGTTTTAACTTTTTGATTCATGAATTAATGATCACGAGTTTATCATGCCTTGGCTGAATTTTGTCTTGATTGATTGATTGAAGGTGATATAAATAATCTACATACCTGAGCTTGTAATCAATGATAATAATTTTAAGTAGTTTTATCAACAACAAACATACCCAATATTGTGGGTTTACCTAAGCACTGGAAAAGCAAAAATAATTTAAAGACGATTTTGTTGGGCCTTTCAAACAGGACATAGACAAGTCCGGTCATTCCATTCATCAAGAAAGACGCAGGGAGTGGCACACCATATGGGCATTAAAGCTTTGGAATTTGATTATTGGAATGCTTTGTTTTTTGACCGACAGTCTAAAAATTATATTGATTATATAAGTATATAGGCAGGGTACTCAAAAAATCTTTATTGATATAGGGGTTACTAAATTTGTCATTTCCCAACAGTACGTTTCTTTCCCTACTAACACAGCTGTTTATACACTTTTTTTTATAAGAGCTCAAGCTGGATACATAGATCTATAATTAAGGTTATACAGAACACCTTTGAGTGTTAATTTTGTCTAAATTTTTTTTATTGGTTTCCATGAAAGCATTAGACTAGTTCTACTATCTGACCAAGTTTGAACGAAAAATGTTGAAAACTCGCAGAGTTATTTAGTAAAATACATTTCGCTGCAAGAAGAAAAACATTGAAAATGTAATATTCAAATTCAATTTTCTCCCGAAAATGTTTACGGTAATTACTGATTTTCAAACGAGTTGTGCTCCTGCGGGTTTTAACCAATTTTTCTCAAATTTTCACAGGACATAGCTCAAGACGTCAGTTTCAAAATTG